TTCCGAGACCTGCTTTGAGACAGTAACTCCTGTTTCTTCACTTGAGGTGACCCCTACAATTTTTTCTTTACTTAAAAATATCACTGATGATGAAGAAATTAAGGAACTAATATTAAGTTCTTTTTTCTACTGAAGTGATAAAAAAAATGATCCAGACTTGTTGAATCAGCTGTTTAGATAAAGATGGAAATGTTTTTCTGAGACTCTAATGTTGTTCCTGTTCAAAGGGAGGCAGCAGATGTTCAGCTTTATTAAGTCAGACTTCATGTCCAGCTGGTCTTCTGTCTGTCCATGTGTCTTCAGTCTGCTTTTAGTTTGGGGACAGCAGAGTTCGGACTTGAGTGTAAGATCTGAATCCAAGCTGTAAAACAGAGAAGAACAAGTAAAACATCTGGACTGATATGATGAAAACCAGGACTCTGATGCTTTTTTCACTTGGACACTCTGGACAACAAGTGGACATTAGAAAGTGTCTTGCTGTCTTTCTGAATAAGACTGTGTCCCTGAAGCTATCTGAGGTGGAAGTAGCTGAGAGTCATGTACAGAACATTCTCTGAGCGTGACGTCTCCTGATGTCATATGAGATCCATCAGGACCTTATTTTACAGTTTTGACTAAAACAACTTCCATCGTTTCTCAACACAAGATGATCTGAGTCTAAAAGTCTGACATGAAAGGTGGCGGGCCATCAGCATCATTTCAAGGACTGTTAGGCCTTTAATTGTGTTGAGGCTCAGAGGAGCTGAAGTGGACCTCATTAGTCTGGACAGGAGAGGACAAACAGATGTTCAGCAGACAAACATCTGGCTCCTAATCTGAGGTCAGTCTCACAAACATGGGTTCTGCTGAGTTCTGTCCACAGAAGCTGCTGCACAGCTCAGGTCCAGAAGTTCCTCTCAGCTGCAGGAGCTTCTAACGGCCCTTAAAGCCCCACAAACATGAAGAGGAGAGAAGAAGAAGATGTTTGTCTGAACTGCTTCAATCAGACGTGTGGGAGAAGCTCAGGTGTTTGCAGAGTTCCTGCTGAAGTCCTGAACTCAGCCTCTGGTCTAAACATCTGTCCCACACTTCATGTTGACAGGAGTTTAAAGCTTCAACATCTTCCTGTCATTTTCTGTCCACACCATCTGAACACCTCCTCATGTTTGAAACATCCCACTACATCACATCAGGCTGTGACAGCAGCAGTTGGAGC